TATAACCAGAGAGGGGCCACTATGTCTGAGGTGCGAAAATTCACAAAGAGGTTAAGCAAACCCGGGACGGCCGCGGAAGTGAGGCAGAGCGTGTCGGAGGCAGTGAAGAGCTCCGTGGACCTTGTGGTGAGCTTTAACGCTGTCCGTGGACCGGCGGCGGTCGTTTGAGCTAACAGGGATAATGTAACGTTAACTAACTGGTTAGCCTGCTAACTCCCCCCCGTCCTCATTGGGGGGTACAGCTTTTTTTTTTTTCATTCCGGTTTTCTACATTACTACAGCTCTTTCCTGCTCATTCCCACATTCTTCACACTCTTCTTTTATGTCTGTTTTTCCAGTTTTCATTCAATGCGCTTGTCAACCTCAACGTGAACCTATGAGCTAACTGAGCCTGCGGTGTGTCTCTGAATGCGCTGGAACAATTTTATACTGGCAGTGCTGCTTCCAATGAGATGTTTAAAGACACGTCGTTATTGTGGAGCTATTATACATGTCGCGAATTCAACTCCCATATGTTGCCTTGCTCTCCTAAATTGCCGGCGCTACAGAATAGTATGACATCGTCCATAGGCACACATGCTTTCCCAGTCTTGCGCGGCTCCTTTTGTGTGCTGGCGGATGAGGAGCGGTGCCAGTTGGACAGCTGCAGCATGGCTTCCCTGTCCCTGCCTGGGAGCAGTGTGTGTGCGCGCCTCTTTATTTCTCCTGCTGGAGATGGCCACATTGTGCAGGAAAGGAGGCAGCTCCGGCATGTCCTTATGATCGGTGCATATTGCTAATGGCGGGTGTGCAGAGCGAAGGATGTGTTCATGTGCTCCCCTTCTGAATGAACAGCAGTGCCGCCGGTTGATAGTGGGTTGGAGCAGACTGCAATAATGAGGGATTAGGCGCAGTGGATCCTGCTGATACAGCATGTGTGTGTGTGTGTGTGTGTGTGTGTGTGAACTTGTTTACCTGTCAAAGCTGTGACATTTGACTTGAATCTTCCAGTGATGTCAGTGCAGAGTGACTCTCGCCTACTCCTGTGTGTGTTTTGTTTTTGCTGCAGCCGTCATCCACTTTCTCATTATGTGCCAAAGACAAAGTGCTCCTTCGACTCAAAACACAGCAGTCATACAGCTTTGGCTGCTTAGAGCGTGGAGCTGGGCGAGTTTGGATAGGAGCTAAACCCTAGTTCCCTCAGGGGTTCTGCTTTATGATGATCACCCTGAGGAGTGTGACGCAGAGAGGTTATCCACGCTGTAATAAATCGTGATAAAGTTTGTGTTTGCAGCAGAGGTTGGGAGTGTGTGTTTGCGTCTGTGGGCCCGTGTGGTGTGTGTGTTCTGTTGTGTTTCTCCTGTTTTGGAGTAGCAGGTTTTGGCTGCTCGTTTTATGAAGCAAACAGTTGGCTTGGTCACTGAGAACAAACGCTGTTTTGTGGAGGCTGCGCGGCCCGCGTTCCTCTCACATGGGGATTCCCTCAGGCATGCTGTGACCGTGCTTCCTCTGTGGCTCTTTCTGTGCTCATCCTACTTCCTCTAGAAAGTCGGTCCCATTTGCCTCCATGCTCTGTGGTCGTAGGTTTTCCAGTGAACAAACAGGTATTGCATGTTTCCAGGTAGAAAGTCAAACAAAATGTCCAAAAGGAAACCGCAGAGTGCAGAACATGGACGTGTGGTTTTTTTTTTTCTAAAGGACTAACACAACCCTCGGGCCAGTTCGTTGCTTCATGAGAATCCCATCGGCTGATGTGTCGGTGATTACTGGTCATCCTGGAGTTCACAGAAAGTCCCTCTGAAAAGTCCACATGTGTCTGAGTTTAGTGCTCTGTGGCAGAAAAAGAGGACAACAATAGACCTTTTTCTGAAAATGAAGTGGCAGCTATTTTGATACATTTTTCAAGCAGAAAAAGAGGGTCCATTTCTTTGTCTTATATGAAAGCACGCTTGTGCTTTTGGCCTGTCGGTCGCATTAAGACATTTGAATACATCCCCTTGGGCTGTGGGAAATTACAATTTCAGGTATTTAATAGACCGAATGGTGAACCAATGAATCCAAAAAAGAATCAGCAGATCAATCAGCGATGACGTCAGTTCAGTTGTACCCCGAAGTGGTTCCCAAACAGACCCACTGCAGGAGGGGGGCACATGAGTAGGGGGCTCTTAATGTCCTGTGTGGCTCCTTTAGTAGTTAGTGTCCCCAGTGCTGTCTTGTTGCCTGTAAATAAAGTGCAATCTAATTATAGGGTCTGTGCACTTGAAACCTCGCTCTAGAGCTGAGGTTTTCAGAGTGGGAGGTGGGGGTCCTCTGGGGGGTTCAGAACAGTTTCAGGGGAGGCTCGGTGAATGGAAGCCAACAGCTATTCCATTAGAATTAGATTAGTTATCAAAAGGAGATCCCATAGAACAGCCTAACTGTGTGTGATTGGGTTAAAGAGGTAGTTCAGAGATACAGCTGTTTGGGGGAATGTGACTGTTTTTCCCAGAGTCAGGAACTAATATCTCACAGCAGTATTAAATAACAAATGACAATAATCTCAGACCCCCGCTCTAGAGGAATGCACCGTTGACAACGGAAACATGAGCCTCCAAAGTGACTGCACACACAGCCATGCATGTCAGTGTATAGTCCGTAGAAAACTGTCACCCTCTGCAGATGGAGCATTCCTCTGAGTCCGCCGGTTCTGCCGTGCGAGCCTCACCATACACACAGCGCTGTATTTGGACATTCTGTTGGTGAAGGCTTGAGATAAACTTAAGAATGAAATGCTACTGTGCATGGTGGGTTGAGAAAGGTCCCTTATGGTTTAGGGTTAAAGGTCAAATATACATAGGCCTGTTTTTATGAAAGTATAATGACCTCAACTTAGGGAGTCGTGTTTTTGTCTTTATCTACTGACGCTGTGTCACCTTCCATGTTCAACCACCATGTTTCTGCAGTAGCCCACAAGTGTAAGCTTCCTGAGCCAGCGTGATACAATCCACCTGGTCGCGTTGGAGTCGCGAGCGCGGCCTCACATCTGCTGAACCGTAATGGGACATCTGGAAAACGCACCCTCGCTAATATCATCACCACCATCACCGTCACCATGGTTCCCCGGAGGCAGTGGCGCGTTGTACTTTTGCAGTGATTGGTGTCCTCCCGTCAGGTCGACAGCTCAGTGGAGAAAGTGTGAGACCGAGCTGGAGATTGTGTCTTGATTGCTTGCGTCACACAGTCCCACACCCAAGTGTTAGGCCACGTCCTTTTAGCGTTGAAGCATCTCTGCCCATGTCTCAATCTGCAAGGCTGTGGCTCCACAGCTGCCTGCTTGTGATTCTTCAGCTTCTTTCCTCCCTCTCTCTCCCTCTCCCTCTCTCTCTCTCTCTCTGTATGTCTTTCCATCTCTCCCCTCCCTCCCTCCCTCCTCTCTGCCTGTGTAACATGATCGGCGTGGAGCCACGGCGCGCTGCCGAACGCTTGCTCTGTGATTGCAGCGCTGCGGTCGGGCTCCGTTTGCACATGACAGGAAGCCGGGCTGCTGCTTCGGGTGCAGGGGCGGCGCGGTCATGTGTAAATGCTTTCAACAGACTTGTAGGTGTCGTTGAGCTCTGCTGCGCGCTCTGGTCAACACAGAGGGATTGGCAGATAGTACATTTCACATTTCACAAGTGTCATTAGGGTTAGGACGTTGTTATTTAGATTAGGGGTTTAGAGAAACAAAAGCCAAACGCTGCGTTCATGTAGACAGCCTGAGAGAGTCGGGGTCTGGTGGAAAAATGTGCAGAGAACATGTACGTGTAACCAGCTCATTTCACAGGCCAAATTATTGGTTAGAGAACATGGAGTGGGAGAACTTTGTTTCCTTTATTGGCTGGTGCACAGATATACTCAAGAAGGAGATTTTAACCCCTTAAAACCCACTGAACCCTCTCTGTGTAGCCAAGCATTGTTCAAACCCACAGACCTGTATTTAAAATTCTAGTGGAGATCCAAAGTTTCCCAAGAGAATGTACATGTGATAGTATCAGACAGTGTGGAATTTAATCCCTTTTTCCAACTTTAAGCTGCTTAAACCTCTGGAAACTTGGTTTAAATCCAAATATTCCTCTGTAACATTAAACTTTTATGCATAAATAACAAGTCAAGTTCAGAAAAAATAATTATTTATTAAGTAACCCATATGAGATTAAAAAAAACTAAGAAGATGATAGAGAAAATATGTTGTCAGGGCCTTTAATGGACAAAAGGGCTAAACTATAAGCGGCATATCTCCAAAACACAAACAGTAAACAGTAAACATGCTCAGTGATAGTTTCCAAGGGGAGAGCGGCTAGCAGAAGGGTTAAAGCAGCAGCCGAACTTTATTACTGGCCTGCTCCCTCCGCCGCCTCCAACACTGGCATAATAGGAACACGAAGCGGTGCATCTCAGCTGCACGACTCTTAAGTGGAAGTATGACTCAATCACACACTCCCAGCTGCAGTCGGGGTTTTCAGAGTCCTTCTCCCCGCCGGGTTCGTTCCCTAAAGCAGCAGGTCGGCAGATCCACACAGTCTGATTCCCTCTGCTTGAGTGTCGCTCAGCCAAGGCTTACTGGCTAAGCTATTCATCATCACCGTCTTCACCGCTGAGCTCGAGCTTAAAGTGGCACTTTCTTGGAATTAATTCTGAGTCTTTCCAAGTGGTTTGTACTTGTGATCGCATCTTGACCTAGTTGTGCAAGCTTTACGCCCGTGTGCCTCTTGAAGACATACAAATTTCACATCATTCACTTCTCCATGAAACCCGAAACAGGAAGTTATGATGTTTAGCTAGAAGTGCCATGTGGCATGTGATGTATTTCTTGTGTTTTGTTTCATTATTGCACATTTCTCTTTGCAAGCAGGTGAACTTGATTTGACCGCACATAACCATCACGTCAAGTATCATAATTCCATTGCTGTTTCGTCTCACCTTTCTTGCCCTCCCTGTCTTTGCCGTATGTTGTCAGTTTCCTCCTTTTCGTCATCTTTTGTCTTCTTTTTTTTTTTCATCCACCCACAGTTCTGTGAGCAACTGTTTCCCTGCACCGTGACAGTCCTCTGAACTTTGTGGTTGTGGTCTTTTTTTTTTTGCATGGGTGGTTCTGGGGGTGAGCCCTTGTTAAATGGCCTCGAATAGCAAAGGCATGTGGAGCCTGCCGGAGCCACAGTGAGGGCACGGTTATCAGGACATGAGATCAAAAAGAAGGTAGTTTATTTGACGCTACATGTATCCGTTCTGTCCCCTTTCCCCTCTCAGGAGCAGCCAAAGATCATCGAACCACTGGACTACGAGGCTGTGGTGTTTCAGAGAAAGGCCCAGATCCACAGCGACCCCCACCGAGACCTGCTGCTCTGCCCCGTCGACGATGTCTCGGTGAGTGCCCCTCGTCCTTTCCCGCCGTGTCCTGTGGCGACTGGCTCTCACCCAGGTCACCTACCCTCATAGAAGTCACCACTTATTAAGAACTGCAGTTTAAATTGTAATTGTGACTGTGTAAAAGTCAACCCTCTGGTGTAAAAACTATGCAATGGTGTTTATAAATGACCTCATGTCTTTGGTTTCATATTGTGTTGACATATTCGGTGATACACTAATAATAATGATGGTATATCAGCCAGAAACACCGGACCTCTCATCTTTAAGGCCCCAAAGCATGAACATCCCTTAAAGCTATGATATGTAACACTTCCACATTCAAATCTAAATCTAAAAATGCTAGACATTCTTACATTATCCCAAAATCGTTCAAACAATGTGCAAACCCAGAGAATTCAGCCATTTTATTCTCTTAATGGTGCCTGTCACTGGTCGCCTGTCAATGGCGCCATATCCCCTTTGCACAGCGTTCTGGTTGTCATAAAGTGACTCTTCATGCAGTTTTAAGCCACATTTTTACAACACACTTTTAAGATCTTGGTGGTTTTTTACTATATATTTTACCCAGATGAAGGATTTTAGTCATCGAACATCTGGATGTTAAGTTATCAGAGAAACAAGCCGAGCTAACGTTAGCAGCAGCTCAGCTCGCAGCCCCTCCAGGACGTCCCCTGTCTGCCGGTCAGATTTTTATGGTGGAACTGGTTTTAATTAACCGGTCTATTCATTTTGGAGAGGAGGAGAGCGCTGCAGATAATTTCACTCCTGGTAAAAAACCTCCTGAACAATGAAGGAATCTGAACCGTGAGAATCTGACTGCAGTGACAGCAATGGTGGTGAAGACAACAACGTCCATGATCAAACTCTACTTCACAGTGTCATCCATCTATTGTTATTTTTTCAAATTATTTTGACGTGAAAGCCCCCCTAGTGCCAGAATTTACATACTGTAAGTTTAAAGGACTAACCAGTTTTCCAATAACATGATTTGAGCTTTGACCATCATTTTCATTGGTTATAACAACATTGTACCCAGCAAAGAAGGATCTGGGAGAGCCGTTACATATCTAAAAGCAGGTCAAATGAAGCAGTCCAATGATCAGACAGTTTCTCAATAAATCTGACCTGACCTCTGGGTTCTACATATTCCCCAACATTTCAGGTGTTCTCCCTCTCGGTTTAATACCCGGTTTGGAGTTGGCTTGTCTGATTGTCTGACAGCTTGTATTTCTTCTTACTTTGGAAAGTACAGCGTTGTCATAACAAATACAAAAATAAGGCCCAAGTTGTAATAAACTGAATATACTCATATAAAAATCAACATTTTGTGTCTGTTTTCTCTCGCAAATTTATTTGGACTATGAATCACTGCTGGATCCAAACTCTTGCATGTACCTCGTGCATCACTAAACCCGTCTGCAGCCTGTGACTTGAAGGTCAGATACAGTATCTCATGCTCAACACACACCTGTGCTGCGATCTCCACAGTAAGCAGCCAAATCAGCAGCTTTTTTCCCTGCAAAACTGTCCGAGTTAAACGGGAACAAAGAGCGGTAAAATACCGGTTTTTAAGGAAAGGTTTCCCATCATTAATCACTGTTCATCCCCAGCACACCAGGCTCAGTTATTTACGGGTCACTCAGAGAGGCCCGACCAGTCAAATCCAATGCAGCCAGGTACCTCTGCTCTGTATTTATTGGCGCTGCCTCAAACACATGTGGTTTTGTTTAGAGACACTCTTTTGACACTCATCTGTTTCTTTGTATCTGCGCCTTCTGTTTTCTCTCTTGGCCTGTCGTTTGTGGTTTCCTGCCATGCTACTATTTCATCAGAAGATAAAGAACTGTCATTACCAACTTTTCTATGTATACATGTTTGTTTTTTGCTTGTGCGTGCGTGTGTGTGCGCGTGTGTGTGTGTGCGGGTGTTACACCGTGTGTTTGCAGGAGTCGCAGATCGTCCGGCAGAGGAGGACCGTTGTTCCCTCTGTGCCTCAGAATGCCGAGCGGGAGGCCAGGAGTCTGTTTGCCAAAGAGGTACTATAACCCAGCAGCCCCATGTGCATGACTTGGCCACACAGCACATTCGTAGCAATGACGTCCAGCCCTTTCTAAAAATAAAAAAAAGAGTGAACAAATTTCAAGCTAAGGTATTCACATTTGCCATTAAATCTTCCCAGTAATTTGACTTTTACTCCCTTTTTATTAATTAGAATCTGCTCAATAACAAACAGACATTAAATGCAGTCAGTAAAACTCTATATTAACTAGCATAAAAGATGATTTCTTGATGACTTCACATGAGCGTTTGTGACATTCGAGCCAAAAGTGGTCACTCGAAGCTCATAAAGAAACACAGAATGCACAGGCCAGTGGTAAACACATGCTGCACTGATGATATATTGTATTAGCAATGAAAAGCAGACTCTTCTGGCATGCTGTGGATATACTCTGCTGCTCGGCCAGGCTCAGGATCTGTATTCCAAAGCCAGCTCTCATGACTATGATACAGCATGGAAACAACTGTCAGAGGGATTGTTAAAACAGACCCAGGCTCACTCAGCATCTATTGAACAAAGATCCTTTCAGCTGGTTTAATTGAGAATTTCTGCTTGCTGTTTCACACTGAATAAAAAGTAATATGTACAATGAAAACCATCTTGAGTGATACCAAGTAGAAATAACTACAGGGGCAAAGGCTTCTCCTGCTACTTTGCAGGCTTACTTTGAGTTCATAAACGAACGATATGTGGAGTTTTCTCCCCAGAAAAGGGAACCAAGCACTCTGTCCTCTGTGAGTCACCATCAGGCTCAGTTGGTCACTTATATAATATGGCATGCTTGTTATATTTGAGTGTGTCTGCTTCCCCTAATCCAGCTCTCTTGTGTTGACCTGTTTGGCAGTGCATCAAGACGTACAACACCGACTGGCATGTAATCAACTACAAATACGAAGCTTACTCTGGTGACTTCCGCATGTTGCCAAGGTAAGGAACGGCCATAAATCTGAAACGCAGTGTGGATATGTGGAAAATGTAGAGAGTTGGGGATCAGAGTTCTTTAATGCCAAATATGTAACATGTACAAGAGATTTACTCTGCTCACATGGGTCGGCTCCGCTGTGATGACGACACGCAACAAATCAGTGTTCCCGTGTATTAGTGCAGAAAAGAGGAAATACTGCACACAAATTGAAATAACTGCAGAGTTCAGCCAGACTCCCAACTACAGCACAACAGGTGCAGCCCAGATGTTTTGAATTCATATAAATATGAATGGTTATAAAGCTTCCTTCCTTATTGTTTTTATCACCGCAACCCCCACTTGAACCATGAATTGGAGTGAAAGAGACATGTGTGTAACATCATGCTCCAAACATCATAAAAATTCCAGAATAAAATGATAAGGTAAGAGATGAGGTGGCACATGATTTACTGACCAAAGGAGGACATACGTAGCAAAATGTGTAGATCAGGCAGTGATTGGTTGCATGCTTTACAAGGGCATAGCGGGATAGCAAACCTCACCACAGGGGGGAAGTACAGTAGGGGGGTGTCGGGGTGGGGGGGTATTTATTGAAGACCACTGACCCCTATCTCACCGTCTTTTCATAGCAAAGGCCTGAAGACAGACAAGCTGCCGGCTCATGTGTTCGAGATCGATGAAGACGCCAAAGACGAGGTGAGTAGAGGGGCCTTAGATCACAGACATCGATCACTGCAGTGAGGATGAGTGGTCTGCTATTGACCCACTGGGCCCTTTATGGACAACCATGCATATACACGCACAGCTTTTAGCGCTGCGCTATAAACCCCGCTTGGAAATTAAAGTGATCCCTCTAATCTTTTTCAATCATGGAGATAAGACTCAAATTTGGCTCATTCAACATGAAAATACAAGCAAAGAGAGCAGCGGTGCGTTCCCAGCGCAGACATGAACCGGCACTGAACTGGTAACTGTGCTGGAAGATTTCCCTGTGACTTATGGTCTGTCAGTCCTGTAGTCCACCCAGCAGTGTGACCCCTCATAGACTGAGCGCGGGGCAGCAAGACCAGCAGCAGCCTTATATACGTCCTATAAATAGCCCCCATCGATCCTCCTCCCCCTACACTCAGGCCGGATGCAGACAAACTTAGAGAGAGTAAGGGTTTAATTGAAGAGACATAAATGCTGCTGTGCTGCCGGGACAGGGGGGGGGGGACATGGCTCTATTACTTCTGGAAACAGGCCAGTGCTACTGTTACATTACCTCTGTGTTTTCTCTTATCTGGCTGTCTTGGCAGTCTAGGTGCAAGAATATTAGAGAACAAAAAGAGAAAACACATTATGCAGTTATGATAAGGAAAATGATCTTATTTATGTTTGCTTGTATAAATGTTTGTTTTCTGTGTCCTTTGTATAACCTTTTATATCCACTGGGACATAATAAATCAATAATAATGCAGTCAGGGAAATTATAGGCATTAGCTGACAATGCTACCATTTTTCATACGAGGTAGGGTGTGGCGAGTTGTGTATGCACGGTGGCCACTGTCAATTGCCGTACGTCTGAGGAAAGTACGGACGCGAGCAAGCTGCGGGAAGGATAACAGCCGGCCAATTAGATTACAGGACAGTGCTGGAGAGAAGGGGGGGGGGGGGGTGCGTGACGCTGCAGAGGACAAAACGCCACTTCAACGTGATTAGACTCATCTCAGCTGTGCACACACGCCTCAACCTTTTTCACTCAATGTCATGATATGTGTGTCATGTTCCAGGCTTACATTAAGTTAATAAGGCCTCCTCGTACTGTGAAGTGGCCGGGCGCATTACTCCCGAGAGAGTGTGTGTGTGTGTGTGTGTGTGTCTTTGTATGTGCGTACGACAGACCGTTCCCTTGTGATGAGTGTTTGTGTTTTCTGTGACGCTGATGAACGGTCCCATGATAGTTATGAGGTGGAAAGGCTGCACTGACGGGACTGAGGCTGAATTATGATGGGAGAATTATGGGAAACCAGAAGCAACCAGAAATTCTCATCACAGCTGTAATCAGTGAACTTTTCTTGCAACCAACTTCTTGTCAAAAAAATACAAATGTTTCATGCAGATAAGGCACTAAATATTGTAAGTCACAAATCTCAAGAACCTTAAGCTGTTGAGACCGTATACCGTACAGTGAATATTATGCTGCCAGAACCATTAACCTGAATTAACCTGCATAATAATGTGCAAACGTCTTGATTGATTTCCCCGTGCTTGTGTTTGTTGTCTGTCAGGACTCGGCATCGCTGTGCTCCCAGAGGGGAGGCATCATGAAGCAGGGCTGGCTTCAGAAAGCCAACATCAACAGCAGCCTGTCTGTCTCCATGAGGGTGAGTCACCACCAGACCCTCCTGTCTGTTATTCGTACAACATAACAGCAACAAATGGAACAACAACAGCAAAAACACAGTGTTCACAGGAGAGCAAGGGAGACGTGGCAGCTCTTTGTTCTCCTTCATCCTGTCATCTTCTGCATTGTTCTATCCCATCGTACTGTACTGTATATTATAATCAAGACTTTATGCATCTACAGCCTCTACAGCTAAACTAACATTAGCATTTACATCTTTAAACTATAATAGCAGAGATATTATAGCACTTGTCAATGGTGTCAAAATGCTTTATAAAGTAGAATAAATCAAACAAATACCAGTAATAATAAATACAGTGAAAGCAGTGTTGTAAGTTTGATATGGAAAGAGGCATAAACATAACTGACAGAAGGGTGGTCAAATCACCTACAGTAGTAAAAGATCAATACATAAAATAATGTCTGGCAGTGGAGCATCTGCAGCATCTCCCCTTTAATCAGGAATTTGAATCCTGTTAGCAGAGTATTTTAAAGCTCCTACAAGGAACTTTCATTTTTTTTTCAGTTTTGGCAGCCCATGTGGAAAAAAACGGTAGTGTTTCTAACACCTCGTTTCATTGATTTCAAGGGGAATCTGACTGAATCTGACCCGGTGGCAGGCTAACTGCCAATAACTGTATAAAAATTGCCAATGTTGTCGCTGATGTTCTGAGGCTGAGGCATCAATATTGAACTGATAATGTTTAATAACAAAACTCACTTTAGTATGTTTAAATTTAGGCAATGTCATATGCATTTCTCTGTTTATGAGTTATTTATAAACTGTTAGATATGAAACTCTCTGACTTAACATTGCTGTGAATTGCAGGTGTTCAAAAGGAGGTACTTCTACTTGTCCCAGCTCCCTGACGGCTCCTACATACTCAACTCCTACAAGGATGAGAAGAACTGCAAGGATACCAAAGGATCCATCTACCTGGACTCCTGCATAGACGTTGTTCAGGTATACAGACCTAAAAAAAACATCAGACGCACAATTGAGAATACTGCAATAGAAGCAGCAATTCTTTGCACCAATTGTTGGCGTTTCTCTGTGCCCACTGCAAGCTTTCTGTTCTTGGCACAAGCTCTCACCCTCGTGAAAGCCAGTGTGCTTCCTAGTCTCGCCACGCTCCAGGGGGTTTTTAGCCGCTTTGATTGGATAGATTTACCGCATTCCACTGACTCGGTCTGAAAAGTCCGGTTCTAGCAGATTATGCTCAAGGTCTGCACTGGCCGCACAGGCTGCCAGGAAGCTTTCAAGCAGATGAACATATTCGGAAGATGAGCGAGGAAGAGTGAGGAGACTCATTCCAGCTAGTGGGTTTGATTCAGAAGCTCTTGGAGGATGGTGTGTTTGACATGTGCAGCCTGTTTTGCACCTGATAGACAGCAGTGTTTATGTAACTTTCATAGAAAAATGATCCAATGTAAGAACAATCTTTAGTGAGGACCTTGTCTGTGTGAATCCATCTGAAGCACTGTGTAAGCAAAAAACTCATTGTACTTGTCACAAAATGTTTGGGCCAAAACAATAGATACATTGGCTAAATTATATTAACCTCAAAAGGAAATCCTGTTGTGTTGCTCCAAACTATTACACTTCTCTTACAGGCTAGAACATAGGCTGATCTTTTATCCAGTGTAAGTGCTTTGTTTGGGGAAGTTCACTGTATATATATATAAATACATATACAATAACTCTTCTGCCCTCAGAGCCCTAAGATGCGGCGTAATGGCTTCGAGCTGAAGATGCAGGACCGCTACAGCCACTTCCTGGCCGCGGACAGCGAAGCAGAGATGGAGGAGTGGGTGGTCACCCTGAAACAGGCTCTGCAGAGCACCACTGAGGCCAGCCAGGACAGAAGGAACGGTGCAGAGACACTGGACTGTGCCCTGGGTGAGTTATACTGCACCAAACAGACTTAGGATGCACGCTTGCCCAGATCATCTTTCAGCCTTACTGAAAAGTTGCTGTGCATTCATGGTCCATTTTGCTATGATAATAGTAATAACATGTTAGAGCATAATCTCTGAGCCTGTTTTAGTGGTGGTCAGGGTTACAGTAATCCCTCTCCCTGGCGGTGGAAGGAGTCCAAAACTCCCCTGAATTCAAGTCTGAGCCCTGTGTTATGACATTTTAATGGCTTCCATATTACAGTGAAACACAAGAAATAAATAGGCTTAACACTCTACCTGTAGCTGCTGCCAGTAGAGGGATAGAAGTCATATGCTTGAACATTAGCTATACATTTTTTTAAAAGATGTTCAGCCGTGCAGGTGGAGATCAACCAAAGCTCCGGAGTCTGAAGGTTTCAGCTGTTACAATTGTTCATTTTCGCTGTTTAGTTTCGCTCCCAAGTGTGTGTTTCTTCAGGGGGCAATTGTTGAACTCATTGCTTGGCCCAAGCTGTGAAAGAACGCCAGCAGTTTTAGGTTTGTCTTGCCAGCATCTGTGGGCCCCCTTTTTTTCTTATATAATAATATGTTCTCTGCAGAATGTTCTGGTGAAACCCAATAGGCCTAGCTTGATCACAGATCTCCAAGATGCTGATGAGCGGGGGGGAGACCGTCCAGAAAGATGGAAGAGTTCATCATCTGTCACCCGGGAGTCAGCAGAATAGTGAATGGCCCCTTTTTTAATTTGGCCGGTAGCATGTAAGATATTAGTGTAGCTTAGACAGGGGAGTCATTAAGCAAACACTGAGTGAGCAGAGCTTTATTGGACCTGATTTGCAATAGCGTGCATTTTGATGACCTTGTATTCATGCGTGATTACTGTCCTGTTCAATCAGATGACGATACCACCAGCCAAGGTAAAGGGGAGAGCCTGCTGGAGAGCCTGGGGAGGAGCTTACAGCCTGAACTTGTGAAGGTATGAAGCACCGAAGGATTGTTAAATGATTAATTCAGATGGATTGGCTGAGTTAGTGAGAAATAGATACACAGAAACATTAAAGATTTTACATTTCACATGTAATATTTCCTGTATTTGACATGGTAGTTGTCTGCATCCCTTATTAATGTAATTATTATTTATTTGTAGGATTTCTTGTTCTCTAACTAACAGTTTGGTAATGAAATGATAAAAGTCCTTATAACAGAAGAATGTATTGACAGCAGAAAAAGAAATGTCTCATCTCAAAAATGATTCTGATATTCTGTACCAGACCACATTTATATTTATTTAGTTTATAAATGTGTACATGATAGAGGAGCTGTAGAAGAGCAGCTCTTTTGTTGGACTCTCTGTGTTTGAATCAGTCTTTTAAGCCTGAGAGCAGTAGTGTTTATTCCACAGCGGCACAGTGCCGTTTTAATATGTCTATAAAGCCAGAGCTGCACTCAGACAACAAAGCCCTCTGTGCTCTGTGCTGCTGTTTCACTGTGTTTGCTCTGGGCCACTCCAGCACAGCTTTTCCCTCTCCACGCAAAAAGATCACTTGAGTTTGTCTGCAGGCTGGTCACAGCGAGAGCAGAAACAAGGGGAGGAGAAGTGGGGAGGGAGATGGATTAGGGCTCTTACCGTGACCCGAGGGTTTGATTTGTTCGTCTCCATTAGATGCCCCTTCTTTCTCCTTCTGTCTGCTTGTCTCCTTCTCTGTCTTACTGCGTCTGTTTACTGGCAGAGAAAACGAGGCAAAACAAAAAAGACTGTGTAGGCCCCTTATTGTTTGTTTTTAAACCAGTTTTTATTGTCCTATTTCTCTAAAATGACCCGACGTACAGTCTTACAGTCACACATGTGCGTGTATGTTTTTTCAATGGAAAACAAAAATTGTTAAATAATGATAAGACATTACGTGGCCCTATAATAAAATTACATTTTAATTTAAATTCCATTCTTCCACTGTGTGTGTGTGTGTGTGTGTAGTTTGCCAGGGAGACGGACCAGCTCAATAAGATCAACAGGAATGAAGGCAGACAAAAGCTTTTCTCTCTGGATCCTGAGACACAGGTAGCAAGATGCTTCTTTTAACACATGGTCGTCTTATGATTTATTTATTTCACTATTGATTCAGACTGTTTGATCTCTCCTCCCCTTTCCACCATTTACACTTTTCCCTTCGTCCTCTCTCCTCTCCATGGGTTCAATCTTCCTCTTCTTTCTGTCTTGTTTTTATCTCCCCCCTCCTGTCTGATATCCAGAGGCTGGACTTCTCAGGCATCGAGCCAGATGTGAAGCCATTTGAGGAGCGCTTTGGCCGCCGCATCGTGGTCAGCTGCCACGACCTGACCTTCAGTCTCCAGGGCTGCGTTAGTGAGAAGGGTGACGGCGTCCTCACTAACGTACGTCAGCACCTTACTTCCACAGAAAGCATTCAGTTCATATTCTGCTCATATGACTCTACCACTACCTTTACTATTTTCTATGCTATCATGTACTGCTTAACTTTTCATAGTCAATTAGATGACCAAATATGACAATTTTTGAAAAAGTTATATAGCCAGTGAAAATACCTCTTTAGTGATTTTGTCTTTATGCACTTAAGCGTATCTAATCACAACACTGTTTTCCTTTTCACACTGCACAACTTCACCACCGTCCTCACCCTCTGCAGCGCTGCCCCAGATAACACACCTTCATAATTCATGTTGGACTGTCTGGAGGCAAACCAAGTAACCAGGACAAAAGTGGGCAACACCACTAGATATTGTTGCCTACTCAATTAGTTCATGATAAAATGAGTTTTAAAACAACAATTCCACACACTGATCTCGCCAAGTTTTATTTTATTTATTTAGCTTTAAACTCCGTTGCTCCAAATAAACAAGGACTTTAGGTTATGCAAGCAGTCAGTCTGATGAATGTGGAAATGTCCTCAATGGGATATCAGTGAGGTGCTCCTGGTAGCATGAGGCAGCAGTCTAGAGCACGCCTCCGTCAGAGTGGATTGCCGTGGTCATAAAACATTGAGTTAGACGTCCTCCATGCATTAGTGGGGCTGGTAGGAGAATTGAACTGACTCATAGTTGCGGTTTGGAAGAAGCATGGTCTCTCTCTCTCTGCCTCCCCTTCTTCCTCTCCTCCTCTTTTCCTGCAACAGTCTCTGATAGGTTTAATGTTTATTGGATGGAGCACGATTTGTCCATCATGCGGGAACCATTAATTCTGGCATAAGTGCACTTAGTCATTCAAAAATGTGCGGGCGGCACTACTCTAGAGCCAACATTTACTTCCAAATTGATATACAGAAAGCCAATATTTTTATAATGTTTACACAATATTTATTTTTGCATATTTAGGTTCAATTTACTCTAATACAACAATTTCTAAAAGTGGAGAAAAATTGATAACCTTTATTGTTGCAGATTGTATAACATGGCAGATGAATTAACTCTTTGCCAGCTTCTTAATGCAGGCTGAGGCAAGTTTTATCTGAGAGGCAATAGATAGGAGCAGGCAGTTTTCTGTCTTCAGAATGACCATGCCCCAACATAATTCATCTTATTTTATGCTTTTAAAATGGCAAAGACCTCCGAGTCAACTTAGAGGGGCTTCTAGGCGGCTGGGGCATGACTGAAGTGTGACATTTTTTCTGTCGCACATTACATACACATTTGTTTATAGAAAAAAAAACATACTAAAACGAGTTAGTGCATTTAAGCATTCTGTAGTTTCAATTGATTTTTGCACTATATCTAACTCGCAATTATTCATTTGACTTGTGAAACGTCTCACCGGTGTCAGTTGCTGTGCTAATTAACTTAACTAGTAAATGAAGCCAGGCATGTTAGGGATGTATTCAGAAGCCCTTTAAATGTCTCTCTGCCAAACCCCAGGTGGAGCCATTCTTCATCAGCCTCGCTCTCTTCGATGTCTCCAAGAGCTGCAAAATCTCGGCCGACTTCCACGTCGACCTCAACCCGCCCTGTGTCAGGGAGATGCTGACCGACGCCTCAGGCCAGCTCTCGCCTTCATCTGACTCAGACGGTGGAGGAGGAGGAGGAGGAGTCCGGGAGGGAGGAGGGGGAGGTGGAGTCATGGTGAACGGAGACTCGGGGAAAGGGAACGGCCTGCCTGTTCTTCAGAGGGTGTCGGAGGCTCTGCTGCGCTTCCCTACACAGGTAGACACTTGACTGTATTCAGACAGCTGTTTGATTGAGGAAGTGACTCTATCTGACTCACTGATTAGCCTATCAGAAGCGGGTGTGAAGCCTGAATCATTGCTGAGTCATTCGTACAGATCAAGGTGTGAAAAGTGAACTCGTGTTCCGATTTTCCATCTGTGTCAGTGAAGAAAACAGAATATGATTGACTATAAGTACTGATTTATATTCATGATGCCAATGAGGGAAGTTTCTAGGATTGTTTAGGTTGATGCTATTCAATTACAAACAAAGTTCACATGGACTCTGAAGCTTGCTTTTTAGACAGAGTTTTGGCAGCCCTGTCATCCTGTTGGCTTAGAGGTTTTGCTGATGTGGGTTTTACTAATGTGAAACTGATTCTTAATTTTTATGAGCCGCTCTTTTCTCTGAAGTTCGTAGCAAATAGGCCACATAAAGAACTGGCTGAAAATGAGCACGTGGTTTGCTCTTCCTCAGTGTCTATACCTTTGTCTTTGTAGCTGTTCATCTTAATGTTTTGGGCTTGTTTCTTGTAGCAGCTTAAGGTTCTTTATAACTTTATTAAAGTAGATTAAGCAGTCACAAGTAAAGATATACAAAAGAGAAACCATTAATCTAAAGCAAACTGTGTAAAAACATATATATTCCATCTCCGTGTCCATCCAAAGACTGAGATGAATTGACTGCTTGAAACTCATTTACTGTATGTGGTTCAAACAGGAAGCCCCTCTGTGTGCTGTGTCCTCAGTAGACCTTTCAGTACTGAAGTCTTCTGAAACAGGGTCTTAAAAATTCTTAAAAATTCTTTTGACACATCTTAAATTGCATTCAAGTTGCATTTTTTTGTCTCGTTATAAATGTGTTTATGGGAAAACAACTCACCTTCATATCCTTTGTATTTTTGGGGCATTATGGATGTAAAAGAAGTCTTAAATTGCATTCATAATGGTCTTAAAAACTCAAAAATGTAACCTGTTGAAACCCACAGAAACACTAATAAATACAAAAGGTAGTGCAAATAAAATACAAGTAGAGTATTAATTACTACAGTTTACAAGAAACAGACTCAGGATTTAAAACTGAATCATCGCCATTGCCAGTGGAACATTATTCACACCCCACATTTTCCCAGCCTCAGGTTCCATCCTGCCTTGCTTTGAAAATGTCCTTACGCAGCTCAGTGAGGTGACAGACTGCTGAGTTGTCTTTTATATCCGTAACATCGCTCAGCATTCTCACGCTGGCTGCAGCTGGCCTGGTTGGGACAAGAGTAGATAGATTCCCTGCTCCCCCTTTACGTCAGTGGTCTCTATTGGAGTGATGGAGCTCTTTATATAATCCAAATACACGATAATAGTACTTTTCATATTGATTCCTCCCTTTTAATCAAAGTGCTGTGCTTTCAATTTTCATTCCATTGTAGTGTTTCCAGATGACAATGCTTTTGGTCCATGTCCAGTCTTTAAAAACTTTGAAAGGATCCACATGAGACCTCAGTTTAGCTCATTCAGTCAGCATTTGCAAGTGATTTCACACTCCCTTTGGTGTGCCAACTTTCTGATATCAGCTCAGTGTTTGGTGATGTCAGCTTTATGTCTTGTCACTTCTCTCTATTTCAAGAGTTTATTTAGGAGTAATAAAAAGAGTAATACTCGTGTGTGAGTGTTACTCTTGGCTCAGGGAAACTCCTGCAGGTGCTGTGAGATCAGCTCACACACACACACACACACACACACAGAGTCTGTTCCTCACCTCTGGCTACTTGGCCCATTAATGTGATTAACTCACTCAGCAAGACTGGTGCCTGTTGTAAATTAGCAGCAGTTAGGTTACAAAACGTACTCAGATACTCATTTTCCATTTCCATGACAAGAGGCACGACTGGGCTATCATGGAAACAGATTGAAAACACAAACAACTTAATGGGCAGAGGATCAATAGGGGAGGCTCACGAGTATTCAGAGCAGTATTCCTAATAGAGAATGCAGCGACCAGTAGCAGGACACACTGTCATACAAAAGGAAAGCCACGGACATAAAATATGAGAACAGTTCCAAGCTTCCGTATGTCTACTTTATGGATTTAATGTTACGTTCTGCCAACCGACATCTGTGAAAGTTCTGCACCAGCAGAACGCACACACATACAAACACATGCATGCAAACAGAGCAGTCCCTACCTCTGTGATTAGTGTGCTATTATAGCTCGGCAGACCACAGTTTAATTTAGGTGCATTGGGTGTGGTCCAAGGACAGAGCCTCATGTATCTCTCCACTGCATGTCAGGAAGGCCACAGCCCCATGTTCCAGCTCATTACATTAATTCTTATACATTTGTCTAAGTGTGAGGAGTTTCAGCTAGAACCCAGCAGTAGCACAGTGGTTTATGTTTGCAAAAAGGCACAAACTGATAATATATAATGGCAAAATGTTGAATTTAGGAGCTTTTTTGCCCCCACATTGTGCAACATGCACGGCAGTGGGTTATAAACAACAAATCATAATGTCAAAGATTGAAACCAGAAGCAGCTGTGTGTGTGGTTGTGTTTAAACTGTGATGATCAGTGAATGAGGCAGGCTCCTGGCTTAGAGTGTAACCAGTTTGTCTGACTGGCACCAAGATGTGTATTTTAACGGGCAGTTTGTGAATGTGTCCACATCTATTTTGATTTAAAGCTGCAGTAGCCCCTCTAGTGCAACTGCTCCCTGGTGGCTAAGTTTCATTACTTATGCTGCAACTTTTATGATTTCTAAAATGACTTCCTGCGGCTACAGTCTAGATTTATGCTTCTGTTACCAGAAAAAACCTCCATGTGGGCTTTTTTATTTGTGTGTGCGCATATTAATATGAGCGGGATTTGTCCGAATGTAATGTCTGTCCACTTGAGATTGTTTGTGTGAATTGACACTACAAGCTTAAAGACAGCAACAGCTCACCAGACCAAAAATAGATGTGAGCCCCATGCGGTTTTCCTGTATAACTTTCAGCTAACAGCAGCCACTTCCCCCTCACTTGCCTTGTAGAGAAGCAGTTGATGACATTAAAAAGTTAGAATTTCTGACGATTGCCAATTTATGTGAGCACCCAGCAGTTTGGATGAGTTGTAGAAGGAAGGAAAGACACTCACAGTCTGCTAACACATAATAGCCACAGTTCTGGTTGTTTACTATATCATCAAGTCCCTACTCTGATTAGCCTCCGTTTCTCCCTCTCTCCTCCAGGGTATCTTTTCAGTGACCAACCCCCATGCAGATATCTTCCTGGTGGCCCGGGTAGAGAAGGTGTTACAGAACGGCATCACACACTGTGCCGAGCCGTACATCAAGACCTCCGACATCAACAAGGTGCGCCGCTTCATTCAAACACACACACGTGACGAAAGCAGCAGCGGCGAGCTTTCCGGTCCAAAACATTCTGTCTTCGGCTTTTCTCTCCCATGTTGATTTTTTGTTTTCGGTTTGTCTCCGCAGACTGCTCAGAAGGTGCTCAAAGCTGCCAAGCAGACATGCCAACGCTTGGGCCAGTACAGGATGCCTTTCGCCTGGGCTGCCAAGTAAGACAGGAACATAAGTCAAAATATTACGCAGTAATAAATCTGTTTGGATTCATCTTTGGAACAGCCTAAGTCTGTCCATGTATAATGTTTATGTATAAATGCCACACGTCTTCTTTATGTGAAGCTGTGCTCTGCTAACAAGCTGCTTTCACTATGCGGGCTGTATAGACACAATGTTAGAAATTGTGGCAGAGACTTGCTCAACTGTTATAGGAGCACAGAGCAAAAAGGGACAGGGCCAAGAAAAGGTTAACTGAAAATGAATAGGACAGCATTATACTAGCATTAGATTTTTAATCAAATTCCAGCATTTCCAGCCTAATATATACATTTAATGTGAGTAGGTTGCTGTTTGCATGAGGCAGCCACTGTAGCCATGTGTGATGTGTTTCCAGGCAGGTGTTCAAAGACGCTCAGGGCAGCCTGGACATGGATGGGAAGTTTTCTCCTCTCTACCGCCAGGACAGCAGCAAAATCTCCACTGACGACATCATCAAGCTGCTGGCAGACATCAGGAAGTGAGTCATCACCACTCTTCTGCTATTTTAGTGAGAGTGCTTAGTTACCATAGCTCAAAACACTCATGCCCTTTTTTGAGCCTGTATTTTGAATTGTTTAGAACACAACTTTGACGCTAACTCAGATTTAACATTATGGTGGTCATGCCATCAGTAAAAAACATGATTAAATACATTTAGGTCCTTTATTCAGACCTGATTGCACTCTGTTCTTATTCTGAATCTTGTTTTGCTTGTCAGACCTGAGAAGAGCAAACTTCAGACCATCCCTGGACAGCTGAATGTCACCATTGAATGTGTCCCACCTGACTTCTCAAGTATGTTGTCACTTCTAGTCACACTCCCCTTATCCTAACATTTGTCTCACTAACAGTGAAGTCAAGTGCCCTCCCTGAAAACACACTAAACACACAATGTAAATACGAAGGAGCTGTCACTCATTCTTTACTGAGAAGAAATACCCTATTTACAATAAATGACCATACAGTACATACAGTAAACAGCTTTGTTAACCTGGTGTAGTTAAATCGGAAACCACAAATTTTGCTGTGCATTCATTCATTCATTGTAATCTGATTTCATACAAGAAAGATCACTGCCTTCCTGTGATCTCTTTCATATCTACAGCCGCTGACCTTATCTACACTGTGGAATGTCAAAAGCAAAAGTGGATTAAACTTGAATTCCTTGATAACCATCAAACAATCGTAACAAGTGAAACGACCAAGCCCGTGGTTACCTTACACACAAAATACTGCTGTTCCTAGAATGCTATACAGACTGGCAGTGAATGAAAGTCCGGTTTTGAAGGAGGATAAAGGGAAGGAAGTAGGAAGGATTTTGGGTAATGGAGTGTACTCACATGGAGGAAAGAGCATGATTTAGGAGCTATGATAAAGGATAAACCATAGCATCCCGCATCAATAGCAGCAGTTGTAGAAGTACCCAGAAGCCCTGCCAGGAAGTACTTAAAATAGATGTAAATAAGATGAAGAACTGATGTTTTCTGTGCAGCCCAAAACCCATGTACCCATGATTTACAACCTCTCAGCTGTTTTTGTGATGAACATCAGTATGTGAGTTCGCAGTGTGCTCAGAAATACATCGTATGCCCTCGAGTTGGGGACGGCATCAGTAACAGAAACACAGCAGTGGGGCTCTGGTTCCCCTAACGCGTGCACTCCGTCCCTTCCAGATACGGTGACTTCCTCTTACATTCCCGTCAAGCCATTCGAGGACGGCTGCGAGCGGGTGTCGGTGGAGGTCGAGGAGTTTCTCCCCGAGGAGGCCAAGTACAACTACCCCTTCACCACCTACAAGAACCAGCTCTACATCTACCCCCTGCAGCTCAAATACGACAACCAGAAGACCTTCACCAAGGTGCGTGACTCCGAACGAAGCTGGATCGAAAGTGGTGATGGTGGGAATTAATGATGGATGTCTTTGCTGTTGCTGCCTACACAGATTGAATTCAGTTGGTCACTCTCACTGATTATTTGCTCTGCCCAGGCACTGATTGACTGATGTAATATTTTCCTCCACGGCAGGCTAGAAACATTGCAGTCTGCATCCAGTTCCGAGATTCAGATGACGAAAGTGCAGCCCCTTTAAAGGTGAGTTGTACAAACTGTGTATAGTGTAATATGTATGCTACCGGACATGTGAGCGCTACATACATTTGACTTTGGGATGCAGGAGTGTATTCACAGGTCAGTTGCATGAAGATGTATCTAATCTTTGATTTAGCGCTGATGATTGGATACAGGATTCCTAGGGCCACAGGAGCTAATCTGAGAATTTTGAGAATGAAGTTGAAATATTTTTGAGAAACTTTGTTGGAATGCTGAAATAAAATGGAACCATTTACACAATGAGTCAATAACTGGAGCGAAAAAAACGCACCTGCAATAAAACATGTATGACTTTATTATCATAACATCTGGACTTTTTTCTCCTGGATATGAAACAATTTAGAAATTGTACATTTTTACCACTTTTTTCTTGTAGCATTACGTCTTTAGTTTCTAACCAGTGGCCCTAATTCTCTGTTACAGAGATCTGTTACATCAGAAACGCTAACAAAGAATCTGAAATACTTCATACTTTTACTACTACAAACTACAAACGCTTGTAGTGACAAACTTCCATAAACCAATTGTATCACACATAATGCAGTAATATACTGTAGGATACTGTTTGAGCATTGGAGTTTATACTGAAAGGAAAAACATTATCCAGAGAGTTGAGTTCAGGGTATGTTTCAGTTTGTGATGTTATTGTCAAAAAGCATGCTCTGGACAATGTGCATGCACAAATAGGAGAACATACAGGTAACAGGGGGGGGGAAAGAGTGAAATAATACAGCCAGATAAAGTTTAGTCTGAAGAAAGGAGATAAAGCAGAAGATGTAAGAAAAAGGAGGATGGATGATCGGGGGAGGAAACAAACGTGCACTTACTCTTAACAGTTTAGCAGGAGCCTGGTGCAAATGTCTCAGAAACAATAACGCTGTCATGAAAACTTGTGGAATGTCCTAAGTGAGATTTGATCGATAGCAGAGGCCTCACACATGATAAACTCTTCTTTTTATTGCTTTTTCACAAAGTGGAAGTCAGAGTGCAGCTGAGGGGCCAGAAAAGGAGAAAGGAAAAGCTCACAGAAGCTGGTTATTATAGCTGGCAAGAGAAGATAATGAATGGTCACTCTTTTTTTTTTTCTTTCCTCTCTTCTCTCTGTTCCTCTCTGGCCACACATGTCAAATATTTGTGGGTGGAAACAGTCATCAAAGCACCGCAGATTTGTTTTCTTCTTTTCACTTTTCCAGAGGGAGGGAGAAAAACTGAAATTCTTTGACTTGAAACCGCCAAAACATTTACATTTAATGACTCTTGATTATGAGAGTTCAGGCAGACAGATCAGCATGCAGTCATGCGTATTATATCTCAGATACAGTAGACTGCAAACAAGCCAGCAGCACACCTCTTGGGAGATTTTTATCAGAGGAAGTGGAAGGTCCGGGAGGCTCTGAGTTTCACAGAAGACACAAATCTGGATGAGAGGAAATCCTTTTGAAGCATTAAGGAACAGGAACGTGAAAGCCTAAGAACATGGGATTTGCCAGTGGCTGGGAATTGAAAATACATCAATTTATGCTGCCTCCAAACTGTTATTTTAGTCGTAAATAAGCACTTGTTGACCGATCAAACCTGCACTCATTACCTCAGGTTTGATTTATTTGTTTAGCTAACTTGCAAACAAATAACTTTTTGTTATATTTGCTGAAACTTTCAATATATCCTGACAGTAGTACATGGGACACATAATCTGTGAAGGAAACAGGTACCTCTGGCTCCTCCTAGTTCTCCATTTACAAGATTCCCCTGCCTAAAAGAGCTTTAAAGCTCTACTGTGGAAAATGTTTGGTTTTTAGTCGTGTGTGGTACAATACATGTATGAACAGGACAGCCTCTCTGAAAGATAAGATCCTCCACCCTCATCCTGAGTCAGGTAATCTGGACTCCCATCAGCCCCCTAAACTTACTGCTGTTGCTGTAAAGGCCCCTAAATGGGTTTTTCCATGGCGGTTCACAAACCACGCACCACCGTGCACCGCCTGCAGTACCTTGTGATCTGCAACAACAGATCTTTGCTGAACACCCCCTCCTCCTCCTCCTCCTCGTGCACCTCCAGCTTCTTCCCAGACTGAGCTGAGAGCTGAACCCTGTCCTCTTTCTCTCTGGGCCTCTCCCATCCTGCACCCTCCTCTAGTCCTCCTGCACAGCCTGTTTTTTTTCTGACCCTGGCTCCTATTAGTTTCAGTAGTCTGTCCTTCCTCTGGCCAGCACTGCTCGTTATTGCTCATTAGAGATGACTACAATTGTTAGCATCCTAATTACAGTATCAAACCAGCCATCTGAACAGGTCTGATTAGTTTTTGGAGCTTTTGTCTCCCCTCATTAGGAATGTCCTGACCTGGTCAAGCTTGCCACACAGGTTTATTTTTTCCCACAGAACTTCTTGCAGTGGCTGCTGCTCTGCAACGTTTCCCTTAGAGTTTAAGGGGTACGTTCATAAAATATCCCACATTTGCATCTGCTAATGGCTCTAGTTGCTATTTGGAAAGATAAATGGATATTTATGTAATCACTCATGTGGCGCTGTAATTATTGTGTTTGTTAGTTTTTCTGTCATCAACATCCAGCAGTGGGAGGGAGGGTACTGTCGCTTTAATTACAATAAGGTAAATAGTGCTTTGTAAGGCTTGAAAATGTATATCATTTTTCATGATGAGGCCGATGTAGTCAGAGTCCATTTTAGGTTCCTCTTTCTAGTTTCTCAAATTTTTGTTTATTCTGCCTCCGCTTCAGAGGAGCATACGATGAAGGGCTGGCACACTCACCCCGTCTTTTCTCCAAATATTGTCGGTAATCACACATTTCTTTCTCACCGCTGTGCCCCCAGCATCAAAGAGGCCAGAGACTGATTATTGTGCTTGCTTGCCTTTCAGTGCATCTACGGCAAGCCAGGAGACTCGCTCTTCACCGGCAGCACCTACGCTGCCGTCCTGCACCACAATCAGAGCCCGGAGTTCTACGACGAGGTGAGGCCATTTCACACCCTGGAACCTTCCGTTTCTTTTTTCTGTGTTCAGTACTCAAATTCCTCAGCCAGCACTGAGATAATCCCATAAATCTGTCTCAGGGTAGAGCTGTGATCTCACACTAGCCTGGTCAAACAGTCACACACACACCCCGCTACACACACACGAAGCCGGGAGCTCAGAGAAAGGGGTACGGTCAATATACTGTAGATAAAGAGGTAGAGCTGAGGGAGTCCATATGGCCCTGATATCAAACGGATTAGGATCTTAAGAGTCCCCACACACACACCCGCATGCACACACACAGGCACACTCACTGGGCTTTTCCTCCACATGCTTCAACTTCCATTTACATTATGGAGAATTACTGCTCAAACAGGACAACAATGATCTTTATCTTTTTAACATACATTTTTACCTTGATCTTTTATCTCTTTATCCCTTAGGTGTCTTTGAGTACACTTAAAAGCACTATATAAAATGGATTATTACTACTAGTAGTAGTAAAGTACCGAGGATTCATTCATTTCAGAAGATCTCAGTCAGGAAACAGAGAGACTTAAAGGCTGTCACAATCGTATGGATGAATTTCCCAAGAGAGAACACACTGACTGAAGGATTCATAACCATGTCATAAATTGGAGAGTCATGATGTCCATTCAACACATTCTTAAGTAATGTGTTGGTTACTAGATCATCAGTGGAAAATCAGTGAAGCAATATGTGTCACTTCCTGTGAGAAGATCAGCACACAAATGTCCTTGCTGTTGCTGCCCTCTGGTGGAGAAGATGCAGTTTTTCACTAAAGCACTTGTTCCCAGCCTTTTTCTTTAAGCGACCCCTTTTCTATCACTGAGTAAACTGACAACCTCTGACTGTTACATATTTTATGGATTTTTCATATTGTATTCAAAACATAAACAGTAGAGAACAACTGATAAACTGTACAATGAACCCAAACAGTGAACACAATAACTGCAGGAAGTTTGTGTAAAACAAGAGATTTGAATGAATTTTAAGTAGATTATTTCCTGAATATTGATCAGAGTTTTCTTCTTTTAGCTCTTGATTGTTTTAACTGTGTACTTATAAGATCTTGTATTCAGGTTTTGAAAGTTCTAAAAAAAAAAAATCTAAACTTTAAAAGTAACAATTTCACTTACTTTCTTCACAAAAAAGAAGGAAATGTTGAAATATAAGCCTCATGATCAGCCTGAAGCTGTGGCGACCCCTAGTGGAGGGGTCTTGATTCCCAGGTTGGGAATCACTGCATTTAAGGATTCACAAATACTGTCATCAACCATCAGCATACCACTACAGTTTACTTTGCAAGCATCATTTTATTAGTTATTAATCCGTATTAATTCAAGATCAAAATACAGGAGAATTAAAAGTGGCACGTTTCTGTGCACAACAATTAATTCTATATCAGTTGATTTAAAAAAAAAACAAAAAAAAAACACATTAGACCATTTATTTTAGAGCTGTATTCCAAAGTAGAGTGAAGTCAGAAGGGTAGTGAAAGCTGCTGATGCTTTCCAGCTTTCTTTGTGTGTGTGAAAGGGCGTTTGGGGAAGTGTTTATGAGATAAAACCTTTTAGTATGACCAATAAAGCCTCAGATGAACCTTTTAATACTGGGGACAGCTTTTGATATTGTATCAGCTAGTACTCATACCTGCATTCAATCTATCACTGCTATCAGTATGTTCCTATTTTGGTGTCAGTGTAAGACTGAAATGATGTTGGTATATAGTTTAAAACGGTGACCTGCTCTGCTGTGTACAGGTTAAGATTGAGCTTCCGGTCCACATGCACGAGAAACACCACATCCTCTTCACTTTTTACCATATCAGCTGTGAGTCCAGCAGCAAGGCCAGCAGCAAGAAGAGAGAGGGAGTGGAGTCACTGGGTGAGTCTGCTGGGAAATTGACTGTACTTATACGTGTCCCTGAATGTCGGTATGTTTCTAGACTTTTATTATCCATGGGATTTTATGGAATATGATTGGCTGTGTTCTGTATCCTGATAAATGAGGCCCATAAGCCCAAAACTGCTGCTTTCATTTTTTCCAGTGGGTTACTCCTGGATGCCTTTGCTAAAAGACGGGAGGATGCAGTCAGTAGAGGTCCAGCTGCCTGTAGCCGCCACCTTGCCTCCAGGATACCTGAGCCAGGACACCAGGAAGGTACAGTCCTGTTCCCTTAAACCAAAAGTGCAGTCCCCACTTTTTTTTATCCAAACCCCACTGATGGCAAAGCAAAATGCTTAAGCTAATAGTACATAGGATTTGACATTAATATACTGTAGATTTCTGGTTCAGACCTTTGGTATGTATGCTTTTAAAGAGCTAACTTGTAACATAAATGTCAGAAAACATACATGCTTCATATTTGTGTGTACTTCAACAGTCCCAATCAGATATCAAGTGGGTGGAAAATGCCAAGACACTGTTCAAAGTGAAGACCCATGTGGCATCAACAATATATGCTCAGGTACAACACTTTCTTCTTCAATCATTCTTTAAATGCCCACATACATGTACGTTATGCATTAGGCGAGCTGGTATAAAAAGAGCGTGTGCGCACGATGATAGTAATACTGTTCTGTTTCCTCCACAGGACCTGCATCTACACAAATTCTTCCAGCACTGCCAGCTGATGAGGTCAACATCAGAGGCCAACCAAGCAGAACTTATAAAATACCTGAAGGTGAAGATACTCAGTCATTTTAGAGCAGAGATCACAGATATAAATCATTTACAGACTCAGGCTCCCTAAGTGCAGCTTAATGATAAGAACTTCCTGTACAGTTCATCTTGCAGTACCTCTCATATACAGTAATCTCCATCACTGCAGAAAAGTCTCAGCAATTCAGTCTATTCAACTCCCATCGCTTGTGGTGTCCCTCAAGGTTCAATTTCAGTCACATGAATTTTGATTTCAGTGTTTACAACTTGATGTAAAGATCAGTAATTTGCTCCTTGCTTTGATGAATGAATAAAGAGAATGGTTCAGTGTTGCTGCTTTTTCTTGGAACTTTCTTTTTTTTCCTTTTTTAAAGTCTAGTCTTACTGCCTAAGCTGACCAGGAGTTTTCAGAGTCAGAATCAGGTTTATTGCCAAGTTCGTTTTCACATACAAGGAATTTGCCTTGGTATATTGTTGCATAACAAGTACTAGATTCTAGATTTCCCTCCATAATAACCTTCTTGAAGACCCCCAACTAGCAAAATATATATCTTCTGTAAAGATTTTGACATAGTTGTTGTCTTATTTCACTTGACTTTTCTGCATTTCCATCTATTTCTTCCTTCCTATAGTGCCTTCATGCCATGGAGACTCATGTAATCGTCAACTTCCTACCAACGGTGCTGATGCAGCTGTTTGAGGTTCTCACAGCAGCAACCAAAGAAGCCCATGAGATTGCTGTCAACTCGCTGCGGTCAGTTGTTCACTCGTGTAAAATGTGGCTACAGTTTGTACCATTTAATACTGAAAAAAATGCTGCTCACCGTGTAACATTGCCCTGCTCTGTGCTTTCAGTGTGATCATACATATAGTCTCCAGATGTCACGAGGAGGGTCTGGAACATTACCTGCGCTCTTTTGTCAAGGTGACCGACCAACACAAACACTGCTACAGCGTTCATAAAATCAAGTTGTCCGTTTCAGTTCAAAGTGCATGTTCTGTGTATGGATTTGTGTTTTTTTTCTCTCTTCTCAGTATGTGTTTGTGACCAACAACCCTGCGTCAGGAAACTCAGCGACCACTCATGAGTTGCTGGCCACCGCTGTGACAGCCATCCTCAAGCACACTGCTGATTTCAACACCAGCAATAAACTGCTCAAGGTGTGTGGCCTGCCTCTTGTCACTTTGCCCACGCATTTCCTGGAGCAGTCCAGTTGTAGTACCAATATTAAACAGCAGGTGGAATACTTGCATAGAAAATGGCTCATTATAGCCTCAAAACAGAAATTGTCCTAATTCCATTGCAGTGACTTGCAGAGAAGGTATACATGTATCTGCTTGTTCTGTGTTTATCATGATTTGTGTTATCTCTGCGATAGTCTTTTTCCTCCCACCTGCTGTTGTTCTTTCCAAGGAAACGCAAGGTTGCACATTGGGAAATAGCCAGTCTAACTCCAGTCTTCTTGTATCCCTGTTTATAGTACTCCTGGTTTTTCCTTGAAACCATGGCCAAATCCATGGCCCAGTACCTGCAAGAGGGCAATCGCATGAAGGTTGGTTGGATGTTTTTCACATCTGTGTGTGTGGAACAGTGTGAGTTTTTGCTTGTGTCAAATGTCTTTAACTGGCATGGATCTCACAAGCAAACTTACACCACGTGCAATGTTGATGAAACCATGTCAACACATTTAAACAAACCTCACACACACTCAAAGACAGAGCAGGAGACACGTTGTAAAGCCTTAAACGCTGTGTATATTCCACATTCTGATGCCACGGGTCTGCATTTCATCTGGGTTTTAGCCAGACATTCAGCAGTAAGCAAAGTGATGGCTGTAGCTGTATGCTGACAAAGTGAAACCGCAAAATGTATACCTCCACTCTTATCTATATACTGGTGATCTGTCTTCATAATGTTTTCAGCTGTTTGACATTTTAACGACTTCAATTCGAGCCATATATCATGACACATTTACCCTGACGATCTCTTTAGATGCCACGGGCCCAGCGCTTCCCCGACAGTTTCCACCAGGCCCTGCAGTCGCTGGTGTTGTCCATCATGCCGCACATTACCATCCGCCACATGGAAATTCCGGAGGAAGCTCGCTGCATCAACCTGAGCCTGGCCAATTTTATCAAGGTCTGAATGCCATATGCAAAAATATAAAACCAACCTCATTTAACTTTGATGGGGACAAACGTCCTCAAGCTATCTGATGAAATGAAGGTTTGCCATAGGGAGAATGTACCTGAAAATCCTAGATAGTTATGAACCAAGTCAAATGGTTAGTTTAGTGGCTCTTCCTTTCATTCTTGCGTAATTGTTTCTATTTTTAACTGCGCTCCAGAACACAACAGCTTTTGCCTCAGCAGCATGTGCACTGACCACACTTTCTCTCCTCAGAGGTGCCTGACCGTCATGAACAGGGGCTTCGTCTTTGGCCTCGTCAACCACTACATGTGTCATTTCGGTCTCAAAGATCCCAAGGTAGCACACGACAACTGCACACTCAATAAGAAAGCGAGGCATTGTGCTCTAGGTGTAATTTGTAAAGAGAGACAGTGTAGGGGAATGGCTGGAATATGTGAAGGTCCAGGGCCATTGAAAAGAGGAACACAAATAGCACACATTAGTAAACACATTTACTATGTTTAATTTACATTTAGTTATGTTACCTTAAAGGCAAAGTTGTGTATTTCATGTGTACATAACAGATAGATGTGTGCTGTTTCTCCTACCCTACCGTACCTTTCTGTCTGTCTACTGTATCAGCAGCACATTTGATTAACAAATTAAATGAACACGAGGCGACCTACAGGCTTTGTTTAAAAACCCTGTCAGCAGTGTCAAGGATTATAGTTGAACAATGAGGAGAATTGTATTCATGCACCAAGGCGGTTGATATTTGCATACGTGTGCACGAACAAGCACACTCATATTATGTATGTTTGCCACAGGTGCTGACTGAAATGAAATTTGATTTCCTCATGACATTGTCCAACCACGAACACTTCATCCCTCTCAACCTGCCCATGGCTTTTGGGCGCACCAAGCTGCAGAGGGTACAAGGTGAGATTTATCAGATCCTGGCTTCCATTTGAATGCATTATGCTTCCTACCACACATGTAACCATTGACTAGCCCTCACATGAACCCCTGATCCCTCACTTGCCTCGTCGTGACCTGCATCCACCACACTGATCCTCCTCTATTAACCTGCCTGATTGTTTGGCATACACAGGTCTGTAATTAAGCAGGTAGCAAGTTTCATCTACTTTACCTGCTTAACAGGTTCAACACTCGTCACATGATTTATACAACCACCAGTGAAAGGCAAACAACTGTGTGCTATGGAAATGCTGCATGGAATGTTGACAGTTTTACCCCCTTTATTTATACGTCCCCCCTCCCCCTCTCTGTTTTTTGTGTTTTGCTTGTGGTCAGATTTTATTCCGTATGCGACGGAGCTTTTTGGCCCTGTAGGTAGGTGACGCTCACCGCACCATACCGTACATCAACGCCGCCCTGTTTGCTGCAATCAACCTGCACCTCCTTGTTCTGACCTACACTAACTTGCCATCCTGTTCCCCCCTTTTCTACCACGGACACCCATTCACTCAGCACAATGCTAATGCTAGGCTAACGCCTTCATGTGCCCGAGCCTGTGTGTTGTAGAGGAGAGGAGCTTGGCTGTTGTAGGAATCGACTGACCCCTCTTTTTCTTAATGCTTCGTTGACTTGATTACACTACACGGAAACATCTGTCATGACACTGCGGTTCTCTCTCTCTATCTGTTTTTAGACTTGTTCCGATACCAGTATCGGAAATGACTCCGATACTGCCTAAAATGCAAAATTGGGTATTGGCAAGTATGCATGTCTGTACACCGATCCAATACCACGTCATTTTTTTAGCCCCGAAACGGGAGTCTGCTACTTCCCACCAGTGTCTCTTTCACAATATGTGAACACATGTGTGCTGTGCTGCCACTGGGTACTGCAACTACTGTTTTAGAGCGGCAAAGAGGAGTTGATTTCCAGTAGTTTAATGCTAGCCAAATGTCAGCAATTTATCTGACTGTTAAATCAACATTTTTTATATGTATTTGTTCATGTTTTACAAAGGGTTCTGAGCCAGAACATATATATATATTTCTTACGCACTTGTATTGTATTGGCAGTTGGTATTGGCCGATATGCAAAGTTCAGGTATCGGGAATGATAAAAATGGTATCGGAACATCTATAACTGTTTGTGTCTGTCCCCTCTCTGCCTCTCTTTCTCTCTCGGTCTGCGTGTCTGTCTCTGTCATTAGAGAAGATAATTGCAGACGGTTCCTCAGTTGCATTGTCGCAACTGCATTGTCTGTTTTGATATTAACATTATTGTGAAACTGTACATCACTGTCTTTGTTGAAACAGATGACTTCTCATTCCCAGCGGCACGTCTCTGCGACTCCTGCTGATTTATTCCTCTAGTCTAAATGTACAACAATGAAAAGTTTCCAACATTTCCCTTTTTTCTCCCTTTTTTGTGTGACATGGAAACCATACCTTATTCAAAGTGTGACGTGGTTCTGTCGGGGTTCTGTTGCATATTGGTTTGCAATGTTGCACTTTGAATGATTGAATGTCACACATTTGTCACTTTTGTTTGAGTAAAATATTCATAACTACATATAGAAGATTATTGATTGTTGAAGGAATCAGATGTATTCCTAATTAAATTCAGAGATCTTCTGTGTAAGAAGTACATCAGTTAGATTTCTGTCTGCATGTACTAACTAGCTACGGCTTTAACAAAAAAGTGTTTTTAGTATGAGGACATTTCTTTCTCAGAGTAATTCAATTTTAGTCTAAGAGAGTGTCCCAATAAGCCGTACTGATGTGAATGTGCATCAGCTCAGCCAGTACTAATATGACACTGACACTTCCCATCTGGCCCAACCACAGAGCAGAGTCTGGAGTTCAGCCTGACGGAGGAATACTGCCGTAACCATTTCCTGGTGGGTCTTCTGCTGAGAGAAGTGGCAGAGGCCTTACAGCAGGGGCCCGAGGTCAGACAGCTGGCCGTGAGCGTTCTCAAGAACCTCCTCATTAAACACGCCATGGATGACCGCTACACAGCGTATAAGGTGAGGGCGGGTGGGGCACTTGACGATGGGAGGAAAAGGAGAGAGGGTAGATGAAGAGTCATTATTCAAAATAATTCTATTTGTAGAATGATAAGATGATCCTTTATTTATCTCCCAGTATATCCATCATTTACAGAAGTTTAAGATATCACAAGAAATTATTTTAAATTTGTGCTGGAAGGAATATGCGCCTTTTTCACAAACTGACAAATCCAAAATTCATGCTGTGAAAACACAAGTGCAAAACAAAGCCTTTTTGTGCTCCTGTCATGCTTATGTCTAGCATGATAAAATTATTTAGTCTGTCAGTGAAGCTTAACAAATGCAAACAATGTCTCGTTTTCCTGCCCAGTCAGAATCAGAAACCTCAAGATTTGCATGCAAGAAGTTAATGTTTGATGTGACACAGGTTTGACACCACTAACCCTCCGCACATATGATAAATGATTAACAGTGTGTTCATTGTCTGTTATGCAAAGAAGCCAGTGTTTAGAGTGCAGGCACTGTTGATAGCAGCAGCAGACAGATGGCTCCATCAGTCATTTATCAGTTTTTATACATCCGTAAATTTATTTTTAAAGAGCTCACCCAGTCATATTTGAATGTTTCAGAACCAGCAGGCCAGGATCTGTTTGCTCTACCTGCCACTTTTCGAGCTGCTCTACCAGAACTTGAAGCAGCTGTCTGCCCAGCCGCACACCTCCAGTCCTGGACTCGGCCTCAACGTGAGTCCCAATCGGAGCCCTGGATGTCCTACTCCCTTTTATGGGTTTTGCGATATACCAATATTGACAATAATTGTGATATTTAATTTGTGTGATTTTGTGTTAATAATACACACAGGATAATAGATAGAAACGAATGAAAGAGCAGGCGAAGTTAATAGATAATTAGAATAGTTCTAATTAGATTTAGAATATGTTCAAACATCTTAAGATATGAGTGGAAAGTATTTTTCTTGCAACTGAATTTCAAACATTTTTTGTTTGAGCGTAGCTTACCCATATAATGTTATCTGCTTGAGTACACCTTAATAACAAATATTACTGGGTCCACTACAGAAAACTGCAGATACATTTAATTAATTTAAGGAATTGATGCTATAGACACCAAAACTCACTGACAAGAACAATGAACAAAACCTACATGGTCCAGCCATATATAAGGTTTCAGCCTAGTCTTGTTTATTTCTTTTCAAATCTCCTATAGATATCGCGATATCTTATATCGTTAGCGTGAACTCTTTTGGCTACGATAATCGTGTAGTAAGAATGTGATATTATGAGAGCCCTACTAAAATGTATTGGTTTATTACATCAAGAAAACTGTAAGTATTAAAGCGAAGTGGCTCTTTGTCAGGTACAGGGGATCCCTGAATTATCTGTGCATGACGAACACACAATTTTGGATCTATTTTTCTTAATGTAATAAAGAAAACATTTTAACAGGAGCGTGTGTTGCTGAGCATTGCTCCAGTTTACTTGACTAAAACCTAAAAGTAAGTTTTCACTTCTTCCACCTTGCGGTCTTCCAGGGCTCCAGAGATGACCTGATATCAACCGGTTCCACAGACAGCAGGAGAATCAGCACCGCAATCGAAAGAGACCATGGTGAGTTAAAGAACCGCAGACGCTGCACAGTACATATGGCATCCGGCCTCTTCCTGTTTACAGATCCCCCATTATCTTGTCCTCAGAGGCCGTCAGAACCACAGCTACACAACAATATTCATGCCACGCACAACTTGATCCATTAGCAGCACTCTGTGTGGAAGCAGCTGTGGGCCAGACATGTGCCACTCAGTGTCTGTTGTTTATTTTTGTCATGGGATCTGGCACCACGTACATCACAGCACTTACCCCGAGGCTGGCTCTCCTGCGAGGATATAAGTTTCTGTTTCATTCAAATGTATTGTTAAAGGGTGTCACAATCAATTAGTTGATTGTCCTCGAACTGTGAGGACAAGGATGTCCCAGCAGCGGCGACACTGGTTCATAAAGGAACTGAACTGAAACTGAAGGGTTTTTTTATATATCTTTACAAATTTCAGATGGTCTGTGTTCAGTAACAGCTTCTTAATGATGCCTGTGGTGGCTTTAAATTAAACTGTTGAATTGTTGAACTGAGGCAGAAGATATGAAGTTACACCACCTCAGGGTCTGTAATAGACCAAAGCAGATTTGGTGATTGTTGGAAAAACTGGAAAATCTAAGTGTGTTTGAAAGGTTGCTTTGTATGAAGTTTCACCGTTATATATTGAAAGAGTTGTTCAGTCTTCAGTCAGGGGCTCATAAGAGACGGATTAAAAATGGTTCAACATCAAAACAGTAGAAGAGACCCTGACCTCTAGGTTCTGGTATGAGCCCTTCCCACACTTCCCAAAATGCAATCCGGTAGCTTCTTTTCCCTGATGACATAACCAGGGTTATGTTCTCAGACTTCACAAAGTTTATTCAGAGCCACAGAAGACTTTTTTCCTATGAGTAGTAAACTAATCTTGCTGTGCAAAATCACATGGTTTGTTTGATCTTTCAGATATCCTATTATGAATAGGAATTGCCAGCCAACATATACATTACTCAGAGGTGGTTCAGTGTGTTTGGTATCTATATACAGCCAATATCAGCACAACAATAAATGTTTTGTTGTGCTTGAGAGAGTCAATGTCTCCCCTGAAGTTTGCAAAAGTTACTGGAAGCAAACTTGTATGAGTCAGTGAGTAAACTTCTGCTTCTGTCTGTGGAAATTAACAAGATTGCACTGTGTTGGCTCCAGGTCTGCCAGCTCAGAATGGCCACGTCGTGAGGCGAGAGGACTCCAGAGGCTCCCTGTTTATGGACCCAGGAACACCAGACAGCATCGAGGTGAGAACAGTTAACAACGGGCCGACCCGCCGTTAAATACTTCATCAATCTAGCTAAAAAAAGTTGAAAAAAGTTTAGAAAATAAGATTGGATTTATTTTGTCAATCATCTTTGTATGAGTACAGTTAAATTAACAACCAGCTGGCTAAGGCTTATGACATGTACACACACACACACACACACACACACACACACACTGATTTGGATCCAAATCTGAAGTCACCACTGTACATTCTCTCATAACAAACTGAATATGTTACCAAATACTGTTACAAAATCAACATCTCCATGTTGTTTTTGAACAGCATTATTGTCCACTCAGTTGCTGTCTCTGAACACAGGGCCAACATAACAAACCCTTCACCGTTTCCTGCTGTGTAAATGTGGCACATTAAATGAAATGGAATTGGAATCACAGTATTAATCTTAATCTAACACATGCCAAACACTACCATTGATTTAATATGTTCTTTTGATCTGGGCCCCCTTTCTCCGACTGACACCACATGTTGAGGAGACACGTCTTAATAGGTTTATACTGGAAATGACGTAGGCTTCATGTGAACACAGGCTTATTCGCGTTCCCTGGTCTGATTCCAGAGCTATGTGTGCAGCGATCGCCTGGTCATGCACACAGATGTTGAATATAGATGGACCGGAGCTGACTATTTATCAACTGTATAAATATATACTTATACTACTTTCCAGTATTCCGTCTTTGGTTTATGGTAGCTGGCAATTTGAAGCACAGCAGCCCAGTGGTTTATTGATGCAATTTCAGGTCACACTAGGTTACCTAAACTTTAGCCATTACATAAACTAATGTGCAGATGTCTGGCCTCCAGATAGCAACATAACACAAACTATTAGCAAGTTTGAGAGATGCTTTTTTGGTTTGCTTTATAAGAAATGAGAAGGACAACAAAAATGTCATTCAGGTGTAGACTTTTTTCTTGCTGAAGTGGTTGAATCTATAGTCACAAAACTGTTTGTTAAAGGAAAAGGCCAGTCATATTCTAGATTTTCCTGACTGTAAATTAGGCAAACACACCATGTGCAGACCCAAACCAATAGCATATCCATCCCATTATCAAGAACTGTCTGTGTAGCCAAAGCTTAATATATGTTATTCCTCTGTGCCATAGAGCTCATCGTGTAAGAGACACACTCTTGCACTGTGTGACATGTTCCTTCAGTGCCTTAATTCCAATCTATACAGTCTATTCATCCCACACAAGTGAACTATTAACATTTGCTGAAAACCTTTAGCTGTTTTAGAAAATTACCCAGACGATATATTTGTGACCTGTTTTTAAAGATTGAGGAACCTGCGGCTGCGTTCCACAGGCAGGGTAGGGAAGTGGGAGAGTATTGAGAGATGGACCAACATGTTGTTGTTGCTTTTGGTCTTTTTGTGGGATGTGTTGCACAATACAGAAAACATCAGTCTTATTGTTCGCAATATCATATTTGATACTAAATACACCAAATAGCTTAGTATCTAATCATAAGACCTGAAGAAGGGATGCAACATAGTCTCTATGAGTATAGAATAATATAGAACATATCCCTTAAATTAACCTTTTTCTGAATAAATGTAAGTGTGCTGTGCAGGGATGGCTCAATATAGGACATTCAGCTATCACGATAAAACGTTTACTGCTGTGAATTTTCATGATCGAGATAATTGTGAATAGCGATAATCGTTAATGTCCTCACTTGACTCGACTTGACAAAGCTTTCTGATTGGCTGGCGGACAGTGATTATTTGAATAACCATAATGGCCAGCTTGCTGCTTTCCACTTATACCAAAATCCAAAGCTTGTTAGCATGGCTGAAGGCTTGGCTTGCCCACTGTATTCTCCCAATGATTAGCCCGATGAGTGAAAATATTTTAAATTCCAAACTAAAATAGGCCCGGGGAGGGGGGGGATTTTTTCTTGTAAGATAAAGTTATTCCAGTGTGTTTTAGTGCCAATATATGTTGGTGATAATAGGGAAGAAAAAATTATTTTGGCCAGGATAATCATCACATGACATTTTCCTCATGCAAGAACATTTTTGTATTCTTATCTTAACTTTCTCTTACTTTTTTCATATGGTGGCACTTAAGATTCAGCAAAAAACGCTCCTAGCTTCAGATTTCTGTGTAAATCAGCTGGGTAGATATGACTTTCACCTGTGTGTAATATAGCACGTATTCACAAGAATTTAAAATATGCATAACTATTGCCTCTGATAATACCATATAAGGCTACACGGCCAGGCCAGTGTGAGGAAGTTCATTCATGAAAAAGGAGAATAAAAAGAAGAACTTTACGAGCTCTGGAGATCGTTTTTTAAAAGTGGAAGTGAAAGACCTGCTAAAGTTATTTTGGCCAGGACAATCATGACATGACATTTTCATCTTCATCTTCCCATGCCTAGAGATGCTATTTCTAAAAGCAAACGTTTGACTACAAATTGTTACCAAATACGAAAGACTTTCTGCCATAATAAGTGATGTTGGAGTGAACAGAGGATGTTTCCAGCGACCCGCATACACTTTACGCTATATGATACATTTTAGAACTAGGCTATGTTATAATGGGAACTGTACATTCAAGGAGGATGATGTCAACGTGATTATAGAAAAGTCAAAATTTCTTTATAATAATGCGGTATACAATTCTTCAGTGAAAAAACGTGTGTTTGGATAACAGCAGACTGATTGCACATGACTCCTTGTGTTCAAGAGAAAATTCTAAATAAAATAAAATTGGTGAAGGCCGCAAGTTCTCCTAAATCAGTCGTACAAGCCACTTAAGAAGAAATGTGTTCATTGTTTGGCTATATTCTTTTTTTTCCACCCCACAAATTGTAATATCTCACCACTGCCTGTGCATGTCTGTTGCAGCTGCAGAGGCGTGGCTCCACCATGAGCACCAGCGCCATGCCTCCCATCGGCAAACTGGGCCAATATGAGATCAAGGGTCTCCTGCTTTCCTTCCTGCACATCGTCAAGACCTTGTCAGAGGGTCAGTGATGATCTATACCTGCACGCCGCGCAGTCAGGCCTTCACTGACTGTACACAGGATATGACATAACTGTCCCCTCTGCTATTTCGGGATGGTGTTGATGCAGAAACTTGGCTTGGCTGTTCACACGAACAATGAAGTTAAAGAATGACTGTCAGCCGGGCCATCTCCTACAGAGGATGTTTGGTTGTTTTAGTTACACGACTCCTCTAAAATCAACAGGAGCTATTTATTCAAAGTTGACTGCACCTCGATTAATGTTGGTTTAAAAAAAAAAAAAAGAGTCAAAGAGTCTGACTTTTGATATGTTTGTCCACAGACACCCTCAATGCCTACTGGAACAAAATCAACCCTCAAGACATCATGAACTTCCTCAGTTTGCTAGAGTGAGTAGTGCACACGAGAAACAATTCCTTCCCACATAATGGCCTGTTTTAATGCAGCGATCATGACACAGTGGAAATCCTGTGTGAAAGCATGCATCTGTTCTGTCTGGTCTAAAGTCATCACTATACCGAATGTGAAAGGTGACTTAAACCGAGCTATCCAGAGCTAAATGGTTTCAAGAACAAAATGAATCACCTTTTCATCTTTTTTCAGTTTACTATAAGTGATGCAACTTTTGTATGGTGAAGAAATTAGCACAAAAATGCATTTATCAACCAAGCACATGTGTCTACAGAAAGCAGATATTACTCACATCCTGCTTGAAAATTTTATTTATTTCATTATTTTTGCTCCTGCAGGATCTGTCTGAACCAGTTTCGATACATTGGAAAAAGGAACATTGGCAGGTAAGGCCGGAACACCAGTCTCGTCTGTCAAACAAGTGAAAGCTGAAACTAGTTCAGATGAGGTTCTAAGTAATCCTTGTAGTTTGTTTAATCATTACATCACCCATTGTTGCTGAAAGAAAAAATATCCCATGTTATTCTGTGTTAATAATAATAATAAAATAGATAAGGTATCTGTAGCTTAGTTAGAGAGTTTCCTTTCTTTCCATTTCCTCTCTTTTCTGTCTGTCTTTCAAACAAAACATGCTCTCTTTTTGTGGATGTATCATTCATATAGGAGTCAGGAGGTGTGCATGTCGAAGCTGTTCTCCTCAGACAGGAAATCTCAGACAATGCCAGCTATGCGCTGCAACCGAGCCAGCCTCATGCAGACTAAGATACACCAGTTCAGCACCATGGAAGCCTCCCTCACACTCAATATAGGTAATACACCAGTTCATATGCAAAACTCTTAAGGGTTTATTTTCCTATATCATTTCTAAGAAAGGAAGTGATATGTAATTCTGATTTCCTAGAAAGGTTCATGAATAGTAGTTCTGAAAAACTTGTCTCAATATAAAATTACAGGTGAGTTTAAAATTTAAACAATACGGAGGATAAAGTTTCCAAAAATAGATTCATATTTACATACTTTTAAAGGGGAAATTTGAAAAATGTCCAACCAGCTTTATATCATCACAATGTTGGTAGTGTATGCAAATGAACAATAACTTCCCTCCATGTTGCCTGCACCCAAAGCTCCCCGCTCTTTTCACGTCATCTGACAGACTGAAACCGGTTCTTCCAACTTGAGACTGTACTTCCACAGTTTTTGTCAGATAAGTGGGGGGTAATGATGAGTAGGCATATACCGCATTGTGATGATACAAAGCTGGGGGAAATCCAAAACGTCTCGCTTTAAATGGAACTCCAGTCTATATATAACGTGACTAAACCTAACCTAACCTAACTAAATCATTTCCTGGTTCCTGTATACATGTTATGTATACTGTTTCTTTTTCTTGACAGAAATCTTTATGAAATCACTGGCACTGGAAAACAAAATCTTACAGACAGACCGAAGAGAAAATTCTATCTCTACTAACCATAATACAGTAAAAAGTACAGTAGAAGTACAGCTATTAAATGAATGCAAAACTTTTTATCAACTCATATGTTCTTCTAGTAAACATACAGTCAAAAGATGATAGATATTAGAACAGCAGTTTCAATCTCTTATTCCACAAGTAAACAAGTCTAATACTTTGGCCTGGACAATACAAAATGTCAGTGTTGAAACTTGCACTAGAGAATTGGGTTTGGAGGAGACAGCCACACAAGTTGTTGAATTCATTTCAAAAAAATGTTGACACATGCAGTGAGCTCTAAAGCCTAGAACAAATACTACACCAAGGTACAATACTGTATTAGTACCTGAATGGAAAGAAGCCAGAAATACAGTTCATAAACAGACAAATGAGCCTGAGCCTGTCTCTGACCACATTATGTAAAACTGAAAGGCCTCTGTGAGCTTAATGCCTTGCATCACTGCATAAAATCCACACAGAACCTTGGTAAGAAATATTTGCTCTGTTGCAGAGATGTTTCTGCACAGGAACGCCATACATGCCCATCATTTTCAGAGCGAGAATCCCCCCCAAAAAAGAATCGCATTCCCTCTGTACAAGTTTAAGCTCATACTTCTCGTTTAATTAAACTTGGGTGGAGGCAGCATTCATTGTACTAAGCGTAGTGGTGTACCACAAAATTAACCAAAGGCATGTGTGTATGTGCATGCACACCTTCCAGTAAAAAGAGATGACATAGGCCGACAGAAAGTGAACTGATGAGATGCAGGTTTGAGGTGAACTCCAAGACACTGGATCACTCAAACAACACTTGCAACACACGTTATATTGATGGTCAGAGTTTGTCTGGGGCGAGAAAAGAAGTTTGCAGAACTTCGCTAGCAGCCAACCTCCATATCGCTTGCTGTTGTCCTGAGGTCTCCGTCTCTCTTTGGGTTACTAACACTGGTGATCCTGGATAACCGGTATCAAGAAGCTGGTTTACCACCTGTTATCACTGGGGGTTTCCAGTGATAGTACCCCCAGGAAACATTTGTTCTAGAAACAATTAAAAGCGATATTCAACACAGTGACGTAAGAATCTAATCACATGAGACACAACAAGAACATAATAAGAAGCTTTAAAAATCTAGAAACCATTTCCAGATATTAAATGTAAGGCTAAGGCTCAAAATATATGTGGCTCGTCTTGGCTACAGTGTCTTAAAATATAAGAGTGAGTACTTTGTGTGGTTTTGTTGGATGATAAACTATTCTAAGAATGTGCTCAACATAAAAATCGTATCAATATACTGTATCTATTGGTCTCTATTGCTTCAATATTGTAAACTTAGGAGCACTTTTGTCAGGATCCTGTGTCCTGACCAGTGATCTGATTCAGTCAGTACTCAGGTTATTGACACTTTTTGATATGATGCTCTGGAGTTGACCACACCCACCACCAACAGTTGCCCCCCTCCCCCATTATCTGTCTGAAGATTTGAATATTGAATGTTGTACATTGCAGCTTTAAGTTGTTTGGAAAGGAATTCACTTTGCAGCACAACCGTGACTGTAAATTACGCAGCAAAGCTATGCCATGCCCTGAATGCAGACGTCTGCACGGAAACACACAATTAAAGCCACTGTGAAGAATGACATCTTCATCTCAGCATTAAACCATAGTTATTTTACTCTGATTGTGTATAATCAAATCTAGTAAACAATGAATAATTTTCCTTTTAAGCTGTATTAAAAACAGTGGTGATAAACACATTGTGGTAATCATCAGGGTTTTTCATCAAAGAAGTGAGTAATGAATGTGTCCTTTATTGCAATGGCAACCATTACCATGGTCCATGTGTGTTTAAGGGACGGGGCCATCGGAAGCAGAAATCCACCATCAGGCTCTGCTGGAGGGCAACATCTCCACTGAGGTCTGCCTGAGCGTCCTGGATGTCCTCTCCCTTTTCACTCAGTGTTTCAAGGTCAGCACACACACACACACACACACACACACAGTATATAGAGAGTATAAACTGAGTTGATAACTAAATGTATCTTCTTTAATTTCAAATACACACTGCAGTGCACAAAAAGTGTTTTTTTTGATCAGGTGTGTGTGGGTGTATACATGTATTACTCATGTTGCTGGGGGCTAGGTTCAGGCATGTAGTAGTCTCTCCCTAGGGAAAAATGTACGTCAATGCAGTGCCCTCCTAACTGACAAAAACGTGTGTGTGTGTGTGT